TGTTGTTTTTATTACTATTTTTGAAGATTTTCATATTTTCTATTATTTTTAAAAGATTTGTTAATTACGGAATTATTAAAAATAATTGTAACAATATTTTTTGTAAAATATAATAATTAATCACTTTTTATAATAATACTTTTATTTTTTAGAATGTCATATATTTGTAATTCCAATATTTATAATCAATACAATCAAAAACCTGAAACTTTTATTCATATTTGAATATATTCAAAAAGTGAAATTATAACAAACAAATTATTCAAAAAATCTCTTCTGAACTTATTTCATTATTCAAATAACATTATAATCTCTTCATTATTAATAATTTTGATTTTATTATAATACAAATTCTCATCTTTTTAATCAACGCAGAATTCTTTAATATAATTATTATAACAAATCACTATTAATAAAAATCTAACTTAATCAATATTTTTCAAGAAATTGTTCCATTTGAACTTATCAGCTTTATCTAATTTATCACAAAAGATGCAAGCATAACCAAAAGAATTGATTTCAAACTCATTTTTTGAATTTCAAATATAGCAAAGAAGAAATTTGAAACAAAAAATACAAAATCCAAATCATATTATGAAAAATTCAAAAATATTACAAAAAAAATAAAATGTCAAAAACATTCACACAATTATCGAGGTTGCTCTTTAGGATAATCTGTCACCTCAAATTATTACACAACCTACATTTACAATAATTCAAATCTATACTAATGTGATTTACATATACTCAATCAATATGAAGGCTTATGTCCTAGAGCAATACGCATTACTATTATCAGTAATGCCAATACAGACAAAATTATCAAACTGAAAATCTTAAGTAACAAACTAATAGATAATATGATTCCTATATAATTTTAGATAAATTTATAATGGCTAATCATATCTTTTATTTTCAATGCAACAAAGATAATTCATGTAGTATCTGTATAACTTTCTAATACTTCATGTATATTAGCTTTAGTATATTTAGAATAAGATTACACTGTAACTATATAAATAATTCAAATAGAAGTAACAATTAATAAAAAACTAACAACAAAACACATATTTGAGTATCAATCAGTATTTAAACTTTTAGATACATTTTGAAAAGATGAACATGTATTATTTTCACCAAAATCTTCAACTAAAATACTCGAACAAATATTAACAATGAAGAAGAAAATGAAAAATTACAAAAACCTGTTAATACAATGTACTGTATTGAAAGAATCAGAGATCAAAAAGCAATTATTATTATTGATGTGAAGCTGTAAGCAACATTATAACCAATGACTTTTTGAAGAAAATTGACTGGAAAATACAATGACCTAGTAAAATTAACTTAGTTGGAATTAATGAAATAAAAGAAAGATCACTTGGTGAAGTAACAAATTTACCAATTATCTTAGGCAACAAAAATCTCAAAATTAATGCAGTAGTAACTGAAAAAGATGATTATGATCTCTTATTTGGAAATGATTGGGCACACAACAATTCTAGTATCTTAGATGGTATTTAAGGATTTTGTTGTTGCGGTTCAGATTTTATCGGAGGAATTGGTTCTCGTTATCTTTGAAAATTCATTCGATTAGATAAAGAATAATGGTGATGCTGTTGTATTATTTGTAGTTGTGATTCTGTTAATGGTGGACATGTTTCGATTGTTGGCCGTGGAATCGGTGATATTAATGGCGTATCTCGGTATTCAGGAATCATATCTACATTATGTATCGGTATTATATAAAAAAGCATGAATCG